GAGGGGCATATAAAATCCACAAGAGTTCTGGTTTAAGCTGTAAAAGGGAGGGCGCCATACTGCAAGCAATTACGCCCTCTGGGGGAGACACCACAAACTGCATTACGGTTAACCAAAGTCAAATTTAAAAAGTGGATTTATTCATTTAATATTTTTCATTTAGTCCATTCGGATCTATTGTTTTAAGTTTGTGTATCCACTTTCTCTCCGCTGCCCGTCGCTGTGTCGTCGTCCAGGTCCTGTCACTCTCCAGGCCCAAGCTTTGCAGGTTGTGTGGGCCATGGAGTTTAAAATGTAAATATAAAATGCTCGTGCCATTCCCGCTGTTCATTTTGTAGATGTGTTGTTTTATGCGTATATTGATTTCATTGCCCGTCTCCCCAACATATAAAATATGGCAGGCCTTGCATCTAACAGCATAAACTGCATTTCTAGTTTGCGGTGTTAAGGCCTGCCATAGATTCAAGCACCGTCACAACATACAGGATGAGCGTGGCAAGAGATGAGTACGCAGACGACAGTCGCCTCTGGTGGCACCCAGTTTGTCGCGCGCGCGAGTGGATGTGGCGTCTGTCCGGGGCCACGGAGTCCTCCAGAGTGGACGCCCAGCTGGAACCACAGCGCGAGAGCGCGAGAGCCGATATGGAATCAGAAAAGAGCGCATGTACACCCTAAACCTAAGACCAAATAAGGAGTTTCCTAGATCTAGAGCGAGTAGTTGGCCAGTGCATGGGAGCTGCGCACCGGCGCTGCCGGAACGTGAGGGCACTTTCGCTTGCGCTCGCTAACGCGCCGTCAGACAGCTTGGAAACGGGCTGCCGCCCAGGCACAATTCCTCCAGCGCTTGAACACGACTGGAAACGGGTGGTCCCCGACTCTTACGACGTCCCGCGCGGGTAGCGAAAAGGATGTTTAAGATCGCGTTTCGAATGCGCGCCCACTGCCGTTATCACAGGAAGTTCATGAGTGGCGGCCGCCAAAGAAGCAGGGAGAAAAGAAGATGAACAGATTGAATTGGTTTGAAGTGCTCGGTACCACCTTCCGGTGGAGGGAGAGGAATATGCTCATGTAACCAATTCTGAAGGTTGCACTTATCCGGATTCCCGTTGCTTGTCGCGTGAGGTGCCTAGTCCTAGGTCTCCTAGTTCCCTGGCCGCTCGGAGTCCGCGGTCCCGCTCCTTCATGTCTCGCCGTCAGGAGCAGGGTACACGGACACATGTACTTGAGGGCAGAACCACAGACCAGTCGAGGTAATGTTGCTCTCCGGCTGCAGTAAGAGGTCGGAGTTTCGCGATCCTCTCAACTCAATGGGGACATACACCACATCAGCAGCAGAGGAGGCCAGTTGGTGCGTGAAGACGGTTGCCGAGGAGGTGTCGTCTGTCAGAATGTGCAGCACTAACAGTGGGAAGAACACAGATGGGTGAGTGGATGGTTGGATGAGATGATAAGCGATCAGCTGATTCCGACTGCCTACATCTGAGTTGTCACTATAGATCTTGACGGGACTCCTGTGGCCACACCTGGCTCCCCAGGGCGCCCGGGTGGGGCGGGAACCCACACAACACATCCACGAACATTTAGGAAATTACAGGAGTGTCGTTGGAGTGCAGAAGAAGACCTTCATCATAGGTGATCTCAACACCTCGCTCGCATCCCACAATTCACAAATCCACACGATACAAGTTGGACGGTTACCCCCGGAGCAACATTTCAGTCACAGAGCCGTCATTCTAAAAACCACACCCATACATTAAGCCGACACACGGACAGGTGTGGTCTTCTGTCTGTGGGGTGGTAACAACTGCCCCAAGGAACAGGAGTTACTACCACCACCTGGAAGCAGTTGCACAATACTTAAAATCAGTCACTTCATCTTCCCTAACGCTACCATTGGACATCGCCATCATAAATTTCTCGCAAGCGGCGGGGGTGCAGTTGGAACACTTAGAAAGAGGATCTACTCACCAAAAACTGAATCACCTGATAGCTAATATAAGCACTTTCCTCCCCGAAATTAACCCCCTTCTCTTTTTTCAGATCTGTCCCCAGAGACGTTCGTCCATTGGCAACCCAACACAGCCAACTCCATCTTCAAATACTGGTTACAACAGCTAACTTGTACACGGGGGGCTTGTTCCAATACAAACCCCCTTCCACTCAAATAATCACCAAATCTTTTCTTGCTACACTCAGTTAACAGCCGCACAGCTGGAGATACTGGAGAAAGGACTCACTTCATTCCCAACACCCAAACCTCCAACCCGGCGGAGCTCAGAGGGGACCTCCACGTCTTCCATAGGAGGCTTAAATAATGAGAATCACTTTTATGGAGCACAGGGGCGGGAGCCTGTGCTCCATTTACCGGGACCGTTTCCCATTGGGGAACCACACACAGACAATATCAATCACCAGTAATCAGAACATTCATAGACCGGAACATGCACGCACTTAGGGAATGGCGCCCCTTACACATAGACGTCAAACATCACACAAGCCACAACAACCAATTTATTAAACATTAGGTAATCACACACAAATAGTATAAACCAGCAGAACAAAGGGGGCCAATAGTTATACAAGATAGAAACGACTTTAACCATTTTAGAAGTTAAACAGAACAGCTTACAACACAACACTTATTACAAACCACTCTCAGCAGCTCATTAAATTGAACTCCAAACTATTAATTAGACATTTACAGAGCACACATATATAAAGTAAATTCATCATGCAAAACAAAAAATATCTGGAACGGTCCGACGTGAGCCAGGCCTCGCCTCTTTTACATCCTCCGCCAAAGATCCAACAAGCCTCCCGAGACGTGGACGGTCCCTTCGTGGTTCCGGTAAGGCCGCCTATAGTCAGTGACTTGCCGGCTCGGAATCACTATGCAGATTTACAGAATACAATAGACCAATTTTATCAACCGCACATCTCCAAACTACCCTAGTTATAACTTTAGGACACATATCATCATTTGATTTAATACAATAAAACACCTTCAGGTACCCAGTCACACACTTCTTTTTACAATAGATATAGAATCTTTATCATACAACATAGAAACCATCACTCGGCATTGCTGCCATTCAAAACATCTTCAATAAACCACCCAGACCCATCCAGACCAGATAAGAAATAATTACAGTTATTGGCAAATTACACCTCACCCGAAACGATTTCACTTTGTAACAATAGCCACTATTCTCCAGTTGTGCGGTTGTGCCATGGGCCGGAAAATACTCACTTCATATGCAGATATCTATTTGCAGCTGGGAACACACAGGCTTTCCAGAAATTAATCAAAACAACCACTCCTGTCATTACCGTACCTGGACACATCTTCGGTCCTCTGGGATGGATCTGAAAGTGAATTTTTGACACTTTCATTCACACCTCAAACACACAATCACACCTAAGGATTAAAACTCAAACAATAACTTACAGAACAGTCAGTGGAATTTTTGGACACACGGTCTGTCTTCTGCAACTCCGACGGCCCGGAACAAAACTTTAGCAAACTAAAAAGTCTATTCAAAGACCTGACCGGTCATGCACTTCTGCATAAAAACCAGCTTCCACCCTAAAACACACGTACAGGGGTCTGATCAAGTCACAGCTGATCCGCTTCCACAGAATCTGCACCTTCCCGGAAGCCATGTGGAGGAGTCCACCCGAACTCTTTTAGTGTGCTGAGGTGTTTTTTTTTTTTTTTTTGGGTTACTCGAAGCCGCTTTCCTTAGGAGCATTAAGGCGGAGGTCGTGAAGGCACCTTCACACAAAAATTATGAAGATATTGCGGCGCGTCGCCCGGCCGCCCCTCATCCCATTGGTTTTAAACGTACTCGGACTGTCCACAAGACTTTTAAGTAAGTAAAGACAGCTTTGAGAGGCGAGGGAGGGCTGTGACGCGCTGCAGGGGTGCCGATATGATCTCCGCTAACCGCCGCTAAATCCAAAAAACTTAAAAGACATTTTTTGATACACACGGCTTTTAATAACAACACAAACAGAACTTAGGAGGCGCTTCAAGAGTTGGATATTGGATTTATCCGTCTCCCCCATCTTGTTTAACAATCGTTCACATAATGGAGTGAACCTGAAATCCTCAAATAAATTATGCTATGTAATTAAAGTCACACAACTGTTTGGCGACTATTTTTTTCTAGAATCTCAGAGACGGAAAGCGCGAGTTAGAAATGGATCTATAGTTGGCCTAAAACCCCTGGGTCGAGATTGTTGGGTTTTAAGAAGGGTGCCGTTTAATTACAGCTATTTTAAAAACTGTTCGGTACAGTTATCCTGTTGAATAAAGAAAGATTAATCATATCCCAGTAAAGAAGGTGCCAATAAGCCGGCTACAACTTCTTTAAGGCAGCCTAGTTGGGCGATGGCGATCTAACAGACAGGTGATGCGCTCGGATGCAAGAAAATTATTGAGGTAAACTGGGATTGAAGATGATAGCCCGAAAAAACATTCTAAACTATATATCTTGAGCGGTGGCAGAGTTAAAAATATACTGTACATATACTTGTACTATTACAGGCCAGGAGACAGCGCA